GCCTTTTATTATTCCAGCACTGGTATTAACTTGAGAAGAAAGTTAACATGGCAGACAAAAAGGGTATGCATACTGAAACTTAGATTTGATTATAGAAATATGTACAGCATTTAAGCTATATAGTAATGAAAGTTTGGCGAGAATACATACAGAAATGTTTGCCTTATGTTACAAACTATTTGAAAATAATGTATTGGGTTGTTGGTGCACAGTGTTCCATGGTGCGTGTAGTGCTGTTGTTCAAATGTAGAGTATTTTTGCTTTGCTTATCCTTCTCTTTACCTGCCACTAGCTAGCCATTTTTCAGGCTGAGTGCGTAAGTCCTCCCTGGCAGTATATATATAGCTGAGAACGACCTTAACATAAACTTTATATTACATTGTGATAACTATGTAATTTAGAGTGCTAGATGGGAGAAGCCATCCTTATGTCAGAAACTTTTGGATAAAAGTAAATAAATGTTTTCAACAACTGAAGAAGGCAACAGACTTATTGAAATCTTTGTGAGGCACAGCGCAATATTGTGTAGAAATTGGAAAGTTATAAGTTTAGAACGCATAAACCTACACATACCCTCCTGCAGTGCCAGTTAAATCATCCGAAAATATTATCATATCAGACAATCTCCATTTACAACTCAATAACCAATCCATACATAGTATAACTCATTCATTTCAAGCACTTTATGTTCGGGATACGTATTTGTACAACGTGTAATGTATACTTGGTCAATGTGAGTTATCTTAACTTAGGAAAAAGGTTTTCAAACAACGGTAAAATGATGATAATAAATTGCTTTACAACACATTAAAATGTTAAATTGACTGACATTCTTATCTAAAAAATATCTTCTGGACACGGAAACATAAAATATGTGCACTTATTTTGTCGAGCTGTTAATCCAACAGAATGTTAAGAAGCATAAATGTTTGCCGATTATATCAACCTACAAGCTCCACGTGAAAGTGTATTACGTAGCTCTGTTTGTGGTGTTTATGCCTGCATTGATAAGCATAATTCTTAATTTAGTCTATTCAAATTGTCGTTAACGCATTAAATGTGGTTATCAATGTAACAGAGAGTTTGTTAATTACCACCGTGTGCACAGAGATTGCATATTTCAGGGGGGGATCCAGAGATATTTTCTGAGAGTCTTCCAAATTATCTTTGTTGATCCATCCTCCATTTTTGACCGTCTTCCGACAGAAAAATAGATACCTGTCAATGTAAACTTGAAAATCAGACCGTCTTCCANTCCTCCATTTTTGACCGTCTTCCGACAGAAAAATAGATACCTGTCAATGTAAACTTGAAAATCTGACCGTCTTCCAGAAGACTCAGAAAACGGCCTAAATCCGCCCCTGTATTTAGTACTAATGAATAATGTGCATATAATCCATATAGCCTGTTTTCTTGAATTTATGGTTCTATGACATGTAACAACAAAATTTTCAATATTAAGACGCTGACTTGTGTAGAAAAATATCTAACGACGCGTTTTCATAGGTGAAATTTCTGATATTCAACGACGAACAGAAAGAAATACTGAACTGTTTAACTTTAAACAGACATAACAACTATTGTTTATTGCGTTAGGGAGAACAAATATTTGTCATTTTCATTGGGAAATGTCTAATTATCAAAGATGAACAGATAAAATTTAACTTAAATCGGAAAGTAAAACTGGTTTCATGCACTGGAGATAAAAAATACTTCTGCACATCAAGTTGGTGTTTTTTTTTTTATTAAAGCAATAATAACTCTTCCTTTGAGATTCAAAATTCCGCAAGAAATACATTCTAAACAACACATGGAAATATATTATATTGCATTTCACCACTAAAACGGCTGTTATTGTATTAAAACTAAAAACTGTGCTTGTCAATAGGGCTTTTGCTGTCTTTCTTCTCGGTCGTCAAGGCATCCGTTGCCAAGGATGTTGGCGCATCACGCGGATTTTCGCGTGCATTCGAGACCAAAATAACATGTGGCGGAATAAGATATAGCAGGCGCATGACACAATCCTCAGAAGAAAGTTGCGAGTTTTTGTACAGTGCGTCGGATAAGAAAAGCCCAGAAGTGCACACGTTGTAGATATAAATGCATTCTGAGCAGTAAGACGATTATATCGTATGAATCTTATTTTAGTGTAATAAAGTGTTGTTGTTGTCTGCTTTTCCCGCGGTTTTAAGTAGGTCATCAGAAAACCCCGCTCGATATCGCGTGACTTATGCAATGTCAGAGAGGGCTCCGTCAGTTAAAATCTCTTAAGAGATAAAAAAAAAACCAAGCGTTTAGGAAAAAAACCCTGGACTAACTTTGAATGCAGGAATGCGGTCTTTGACCATTGGTAAGTACGGGAAAATTGCCGTTTACGCCAGGAAAATCCAATTTTTGGCCAAAGCGAAGAGTTATTATGACTTTAAGGAAAAACTGATTTTCACAGTCGAACACGAAAAAAGAAAAATGTACAGTTTAACTATAAATAATCATAAAACTGTCGTTTCTTGCAATAAAGAGAACATATTTCTACAGATTACATTAATGTTTCTGTTTCATTTTGATCGGGAGATCTTCTGAAATTCAAAGACGAACAGAAAAAATACTGCACTGTTTAACTTTAAACAGACATAATAACTGTTGTTTAAGAAGAACAAACATTTGTCTTTTTCATTGGGAAAGTTCTGATATGAACAGGAAAATTAAACTTAAATCGGAAAGTGAAACTGTTGTTTCATGCACTAGAGATAAAATACTTCTGCATATCAGGTTGCAATTGCTGTTTCATTTTTTAAAACAAGGAAAAACTGATTTTCACAGTTGAACAAGAAAAATGAAAACTGTACAGTTTAACTTTAAACAATCATGTTACTGTTTCACTTAGATATTTTCTGGTATTCAAAGACAAACAAGTATTTTGTTCTGTTTAACTTTAAAGTGGAAAACTTTTAAATTTTTAGTTTGAAGTGAAAATTTTTTTCATTTTAACATAAAAAACAAAAGTGATTCATCTGAAGGAAAAATATTCAATCTTAAAAACGAGCAGAAAAATTTGTAACGTTTAGCTTTGGATCAGAAAAAATGCTGAGAATTTTTGACTTGGAAGAGAAAATACTCATACAGGCCCGTAGCCAGGGGGGTTCGGGGAGTTCGAAAGAACCGCCCCTTTTGCTGGGAAAAGGTCTACTCTGGGTAAAATTTGATCTAGGTACATGGAGTTTTTATGGGAAAAGGCCCCTTTTTCCTGAAAAAGAACCCCCCTTTTGAAATTGCTGGCTACGGGCCTGCTCATATTTTTTTTAAAGATGAAGATGTTTAGCAATGTTTAGCTTTAAATCTGACAAATGTTGTGAAGTGATGGTTGTGGCTACAAAAGGCCGTGCTCTAAAGAGGTTGTTTACGACCGCCTGCATTACTAATTTGCCTGTTGAAAACCAAGGCGATTATTTAGGAATAAAGGGTTGAGTTTTAAAGAAGTCAATGCAGCGTTTAAGTACAAATAGCCAACCACAACTGTTGTTTCACGATTTAACGCTACTAGCACTACTATAATACTATCCGCTCATAGTGTCATTCATTTAATGCTGACCGCTGTACAGTTCACTCTAGTAAAAGGCAAAGTTAATGAACTCAGTGTTTGCGAACCACACACTATCACAATACTCTATGTATTTGGTATGTATACCTCACACTTTGTAAATTAGGCTCTATTCCCATAGATTTTAGATCGATCTATCCCCGCGGGGAGTCTCACTAGATTACTTTCAGATAATCTGACTTAAATGTCCGTCCCGCCTACTACAAGCTGTAAGGGGATAATTAACTTTCGTGTCCGCCCGGCTGACAGCTATTTAGCGTGAACCCCCAGGGAGTTAGGTCGATCTAAAGTAGGTCGATCTAATCTATGGAAATGGGGTGTTAGAATAGCCTCACCTGATTGATTGCGGTCCCTGTTTATTTACACATTGTGAGACGCGTTAAACTGTTCAATTTCATATCAGGTTTCGGATCAATAATAACAGATGCGCGTCTTTATGCTCATCCAATTCAATAGTAAACAAACACCTACCTTTCAAAGCTTGCGTACACACTTGTTACGTCAACCAATATAAGCGTCTCCATTTAAGTGAAGTAAAACACATAAAACAAATACAAAATAGTTATAAAACAGATGATACAAAACATTCTGCCACATTCTACCATTTTTTTTACTACCTCTCGTGTCCTTCTATTACTACTCATTTATCAAATGAAAAGGAAATACGGCCGTTTTTTTTTTCATTTTCTGATGAAATGGAATTCACTTTGCTCCGCCATACACGGATCTTACTGTCAAGTTGGGGTCACTTTGCAATGCGGTGTACTTTGAAAGAAAATTGTTAAGTATTCCGGTGCGGATTCTAGCCGGTAGCCGCCATGTTGACATGTGGGTGCTTATGTGCCACATCAATATATCTCTAACTTTTAACTTTTATTTTGTCTTTAAGTTTGTGTCAGCAAAAAAGAGATAAAAGTTTCTCATATGCAGTTAATGGTTCATATATATCTTTTAGACAGTCCATAAAATGACACGCTTTGAAAGTTTGACTCTTTTAAAGTTGGGTTTCCTGGTCGGTTATCTGAAGGATTAAGATTTATTTCTTGGCTTCCATGCATATAAGTTCGAGTTATTTTTGTGCTGTTAAATCTTGTACAACTGATGTCTATATCATTATTGCTCAACTGTAGGGAACTTGCCTTGCGTTGACTTGATTTCCGGGGGGGGGGAAAAAATTAAAAGAAAGTATAGATAAATAGAATTGACAACAATTACTACAATTATAGAAATAAAATCAAAATAATTAAGAAGAAGAAGAAACAAGCTAAGTAGATAATGATGCAAGCAAGTGTAGAAATGAAAAATAAATAAAGGCATGAAGATTACACACCTGCAGACATAACAGTTGTTCGTATTTCATTCAGGTACCATTCTATTACTTGCATTTGCCTTGCTGTCCGTAATGGGACAGGCTTTGACGCCATCATCATATATTTCTGCTGCTGATCAGACACGGCTAAGGTCAGTGTTTGAAGCAGCAGCACCGTACTCAGATGTAGAGGTTGCCCACTACTCCATCATGGGGCTGACGTTGCTGGGGGTAGTCATCCCTAACTCTAAGGTTAGTAAATACAATTGAGTCTTCAAAACTTATGATTATAATAATTATAATCGTAAAAAAAATAATGTTTGCTTGTTTGCTCTCTTTGAAATAAAAGACTTTTTTGAATGAATATATAAAAATTGATATTAAGATTTAAGAAGCCCATGTTTATATATCTAAATATATCTAAGTTTAGTTTATAAAACTTTTATATAAACGCAAATTTTTTTTACAACTTAAATACTGTTAGTTCTGCGTTATGTTTCGCAATTTTTGCATTTGATTATCATTTTTTACCAATTTAGTTAATCTTTTCCAGGATGTATGCAACTATCTTCAAGTCAACTTGGACCAGAGTAGCGTAGAAAGTTTATTCTTTGCCTCTTCAGCGGCCAAAAATTTGGGTGGATGCCAGGTAGGTAATAACTGGGTAATACTTGGAGAGGGATTATCCTTCTTTAGGAATATCTTTTATTTTGTTTTGTTGTAATAGTTTCCTGCATTACAACCCTTCTGTCAAAATTTGATGATATTTTGCTGTGAGACAAATACTTTGTTTAATCATTGCACAAGCATCAACTGATAGATTTTGGGGTTCAGACTGTTGAATATCAATAAATATTTATTTATTTATTCATTTATTTATTTAATGTTTTGCTGTAAATGATTCAAAGATGATATTTGAATACTGTTGAAATAAATAAATCAATATTTATTTATTTATTTATTTAATGTTTTGCTGTAAATAATAGCTTTTTCTAAAGATGATATTTGAATACTGAAATGACATTTTATGTATACTTTAGCTGACAGCGAACACTGCCAACGAGACAATTGCAGAGAGTCTTAAGACAGATCAGCCAGTGGTGAACATTTACTATGCAATTTTAGCAGCAAAAAATCTGGGTGTGACAGGTAAGCTGGGTTTGAATTTCTTTTTTTTCTGAAACCAATTGAGCCAAAGTTTGGAAACAAAATAATACACAGGCAACATTAAATTTTCTTGTAAATTTTAAAGATGTTCTCTTTATATGATATCTAAATATGTTCAGAATTTTACAAACCATTTTCGAGCTCTTAACATCATACTTTTACCATAATAAGTTGCCCTTTTTCACAAAAAATTCTTATTGGAGAATTTTATTTAATTATTTTCTCTGTTGTTTTAGTGGACTCAGCCAACGCCAGCCAGACCCTGCTAGAGGTACTGAAAAATGATGACAGCCCTCTCAGGTGAGACCAGCATATAAACATATATAGTGTACTACACTCACAGCTTGTAGTACCCACCCACCCCCTACCCAAACCCCCTCCCTCCCCCTCTCCAAAAAAAAAAAAACCCTGTTGTCTGACCATTGCTACCAGCTATGCATTTAGTACAATGTGCAGGTTCCATAATTTATTCCTTACTGACATTTACTAATTTGAATTATAAAACCTGTTTAAAAGTAAGAACTGTTCTCTCTGTATGAACAACGAAACTCTTAAAATGTGAAAGTATTAAAAAAAAATTTACCGGTAAAAATTTGAATATTATCCTGTTTCACTTCAGTCTGGGCTATGCCTTCTTAGCAGCTGCTCAACTCAGTGGGGATGTCAGCAAATTCTTTGATAGGATAGAGGATGTGGTCGCACAGGCCGACGAGGTCGATGATAAATATTTACAGTTCGAAGGAGGGCTGTTTACAACGTCAGTTGTAATTGACTCAGCTTATAAACTGGCAACAAAGGTTGACAAGGTCCCTCATATAGATGAGGTAAGGAGAAAATTTTGGAATTTATTATTTTATTTTATTTATTTATTTGTACATGTTTTAATCCAATGGTACAATTTTTCCCCTTTTTGAATTTTTAACTTATCAATGAATTTAAAGTTTTGTGGAAAAAATCTGCAAAGGCTGTACACTTGATTCACTTTGCTGTAAGGAGAATTTTGTTATGAATTCAGTGTTTCCTTGTTTGATTTTGCGATGAAATGTTTTATCTTGAAAACATTGTAATGATGCTTTCCTGTTAATATTTTCAGGAGAAGATTATAAAATTTACCAACTATTTCCTGGGCCGAAAGTCGGTACAGCAGCTGAAGACGGCAGCACATCTGCTCTCAGCTGTCAAAACACTTACAGATAATAAGGTTGGCAGTGGAAATATAAGAGGGGGGGGGGACTTTCCCAATCTTTTGGAAGATTTTTTTTTCGATTGTATAAATAAAATTATTTTCAGTTGTTTGTATTTGGACTTAAATTTTATCTTGTAAAAAGTAGTTGAAAAGGGTCTTAGAGTCATTTGATGGTTAACTTGTTCTGAAAGATTTGCCTCCTTTTTGGTGATGTGAATAGAATTTGTCATCACTTGAGGTTTAAACATTGTTCATAATGGTCACATGAGTAATGCTGCAAAATTTGGTGGAAGTGATGTTCAGAAACGATAACCTGAGGGCAACTAGACCTCAAAGTAGAGACAACAATTACTGATCCATAGTACTCTTAGCTTCTAGTTAGGTAACTTTGGTTAAATAAGTGTTATAAATAGGAAAGAAATGCAGCATTTTTCATGTGTTATGAATAGGAAAGAAATGCAGCATTTTTCTTGTGACTTAGGGTATTACAGATGGCTTACTGCTAAGGTGAAATTTGTTGTGCAAACCAGGTTTATGAAAGTATTAGCCAAAATATACTGTATTAGCCAAAATATACTGAAATTGTTTGAAACAAACTATCGGACTTGCATTTGATAAGTATTATGTTTAAATACCGCAAATGTTGACCCTAATTATTATTTTTTTGTGAATAACTAATGTGAACAAGTGATTCATACTTTTAATGTAAATTGCTTTAAGGGCATAAACATTTTTTTTCTTGTGTCCTAGGTACGTGTGCGTAACCTCCTGGGGGTGAGTCTTGGTGCCATGAATGTCACCGCGGGCACTGGGGGTAACGTTGGTGACGATGCCATTGTCTTGAGCAAGAAACAGTTCACACCAACAGCAGATGACAAGTGAGTGCATTTTATAGTTAATCTATCTCTTTGGAACAGTTATCCAATTTGAAAACCATTTTTGGGGGGTTTATTAAAAATATTAAATGGCAATGTTCTTGATTCTTTTGAAGATCCAGTCTGGTGGATAATGGGCACTTTCAGATGGCATTGTTTTCGTTTTTTATTTATATGTTTGTTTTTACATTCTTAATTTAAATGGAAGCTTGTTTTTGTGGAAGTGATGTTTCAATACGATAACCTGAAGGCTATAAAGCCTGAGAGTGTTGAAGAAATTCACTGATCCACATAGAGGCTGACATACATTTTTTAATATGACTCATAAAATGTCAAGTACCTCCACCATCGTAATAAATAATTAATGAGAACTATATAGCTTGGAAATTAACAAAACAGATGTTTTTAATTGACATACAAAAAAAAAAAAAAAAACATGCAAGTTTGAATACTTTTCAAAGTGGTGCATTTCATGATGTTGACTTCTGGTACCATATTTCATGTGGACAAGAAGTATTTTATTTTGTAGTGTTGACCTTCATTGCTTAATTCACTGAACTTGACCTCTAGCATGGTTTTTGTGATGTTGACCTTTAGTACTATATTTTACGTCAACCTTAAAGATTGCATATGTTGATGTTGACCTTTTCAGGGCTGTGTATGAGTTACCCAATAAGCCGCAAGAGGTTCTGGGACCGACAAATATTGTAGGGTCGCGTTCCGGATATCATACGTATAATAAAAGTGACATCACGGCGGATTCTATCACTAATTGCACTGTGCCGCGGTACTTAGCGGCCGGAGAAAACCCTGGCGTGGTTATAACTAGAAGAATCTCTCGATGTTTGATTTATTCATTAGGAATCTTCTTCAATCTTCTCTCAATTGCTGTGTTCTGCCGAGAATCACTGCGTCACACTACAACTTGCAACTTCATGATCTCTGTAGCTATATCAGACTCGATGCTACTCTTGGACGGTTTTGTGTTTTTGTTGGAGTATGACCTAAAAGTTGACGTTATATCTCCCAATCCAGCTCTGTGTAAAATAGCCTTTTTCGTGTTCTACTCCGCACCAGAGCACACCGGACTGATTTTAACCATAATGAGCGCGGAAAGATTTGTGAAAGTGAGGTTCCCCATCAAGGCGAGCACACTTTGCACCATGAAGAGAACCAGATGGATAATTATCGGTGTCGCCGTGTTCGTATTAGTTATCAATTCGCCCGTGCTCTTTACCGATCTACTTTACGAAAATATACCGGAGTGCAATGCCACAATATGTTGGAACTTTCTCGTCTACGAGGCCAGACCGGTCGGAAGTCCCGGTACACTTTCGTACTATGCTTACATCCACAAGTGGCTTTCGTTAACGTTGTATTGGATCATACCTCTGACGTCACTTCTGGTTATAAACTTCCTCATAATCCACGAGACAAGGAAGGCGACTGAAAGAATACGAAGTCAATCTGCGCCAGATGACGGAAAGGATACTGGGCAACACCGTACGGCGAACCACAAAACGCCCATTCTTGATTCGCGAGAGAAAAGCCAGAGGCAAGTCACGCGGATGCTCCTCGCTGTGACGTTTGCTTACGTCATTCTTGTGGGGCCAATTAATCTTCTCAACACGGGTACAATCAATTTGTGGGGCACGACACAAAGCGTCGCCCGTCAGTGGGTGTTTACGGTATCCATTCTTCTCTTTTATATCAACCACTCAATTAATTTCTGGCTGTACTGCTTCAGCTCGCCTAAATACCGACACGAGTTGTATGCAGTGGTTTCTTTAGCAAAAAGACGCTGTGCGACCTTGTGGACCAGCCTGCGCAAGACCTGGACGAGAACACGCGAGGGTATATCACGGAGCGTGGACAGCGTGGAAGGTGTGAGTCACAGCATTTCCAGCTCTGGCGTTCACACCACACACATTGAATCACCTAGTCGGTCTCAGTCTGTCTTGGCACGTGACGTTGAGCTAAGCAGGTCACGTGATGCTACGTCCATGACGTCATCTGGTCTTGGT